GAGAGAGAGAGAGAGAGAGAGATGTGTGTGTGTGTGTGTGTGAGAGAGAGAGAGAGAGAGTATGTGTATACCTACGTAACCATATTTTGGAGCTAAACTTGACAAATTCTCCAAAAGTCTATGTAATGTTTATTTATGTTTTATTTAGATAGCAAGTAAACGTGTGTGTGTGTGGATGGAGTGGTGTGTGTGTTCAGCCCTGTGTTTTTCTCAGTGTCATCTATTTGTTTACATTGTCTTTAACTCTGCCGTATAGCTGTGTTTGGTCATGTATGCTAATGTGCCTCTCACGTGTTACAGTGTGTCCATATGGGGCATGTTGTCACATTTCACTTCCATTCTTTCGGGGTAGTTGAGGGGAAAAAAGTATACACTATATCAATGAAACAAGACCACATATTTGAACAAGACATGTTAAATTAATGTGGAAAAATAAATACTCTGAACCTAGTTTGTGAATTTACACAAACTGAGAAAGCCAAAAAGTGTTGGAATATGCGTTCCACTCCCCTACTCACTCATTTTCCTTCATGGTCTGTATGGACCCCCTGAAGGAGCCTGTGTTTAAATCTCTCTCTCTCTCTACTCTAGGTGTCTTAGCAACATCAAATCAGAAGTGACCGCTCAGCTTCTGTGTCGTCCAATCATGTTGCTTGGACGCTCACTGCTTTTATTGCTCTGTTTGAAGTCCATTCAGTCATGAATAGATTCAGAATCACATTATAGTGGCGTTGATTGTTGCCATGACGACTGACCTCAAGCCCCCTCCTCCCAAATGGTTACCCTACCCCCACGCGGCTCAGTTACCCCGCCCCCTCCAGGGACTCCATCTTAAGACATTTAATGATGGACAGAAAAAAGAGAAACTTAAATGTATAAAAGCATGTGTGTGGCTGCTGAGGATTCGTTCAGAGGTCAGTCACATTCATCTGAGCGTTTGGTGGATGAGAAAAGTGCTGAAGAACCTTTGGAATATTTATTAAACATGAATATTTATGAACATCATTTGTTCTTAGATTATATTCTTATATGAACATATTCAATAATCAAAGGGTTAAAGGGATAGTTCATCCAAAAATGATAATTCTGTCATCATTCTCTCATCCTCACGTCATTCCAAACCTGTATGAATTTCTTTCTTCTGTTGAACACAAAAGAACGGTATTTTGAAGAATACAGCAGACGGTAGCCATTAACTTCCATAGTATTTGTTTTCCATGCTGTGTAAGTCAATGGCTGCCGTCAACTGTTTGATTAGTAGCATTCTTCAAAATATCTTCTTTTGTGTTCATCAGAAGAAAGAAACTCATAGAGGTTTGGAACAACATGAGAGTAAATGATGACAGAATGATGATCATTTTGGGGGGTGAACTGTCTCTTTAAACAGCATCTCTTGTGGTTTTATATAATTTGAGTTCATTGATCTGGTTTTCGGGGTGATTCTTCACTCTGCTGATGAAGATGATGATTTATGTTTCTGTCTGATTTGTGATTGGACGTGTCCTGATGGGGGTCTCCATGTCTCCTGCTGATGGTGTGTTATATTGATCTGACACTAATACCCCTCTCTCCATTTCACTCCTGCCCCCATCAGACGGATTAACGCTCCCCGCTGGATTGGGGATCTGTGAGCAGGACAATGCGGGTCCCACAGCAGAATGAGGGGCTGAAGATCCCGACACACACACACACACACACACACACACACACTCACTCATGATTGCTGCAGAAGATTCATGAAAACCACAGCAAAAACATTTTCATATACATCTCAGACGTGCAGGGGCGTGTCTACGTGGTGGCACCGGCCCCCCTGAAATGAGTAAAGCCTTGAAGTCCTTTTAAGTGTTTTTCTTAAATGAATATGTACAATTTCTCATATGTTAACAAAATGTATTTGATTTTATTAATCTAAAAATTTTTAACTTAATCTATACATTGGGTTACATTGATAAATATTGCATTTGCAGGTTTCCCCCAGCCCCCCCCCCCGCCCGCCCTCCCCG